GCCATCTTGTTTGTTTATTTACGGCCCTAAGAGCATCGTGTCAGCCTATTCGCTCGCGACCAATGAAAAACCGGAACAGAAATGGCCATACTCTGTCTATAAAGGTACTCTAGTTGTCGTTACTCTGGGTATAAAGGGACTCTAACAGAAGGCTCACTCCCAGCGTATCTCGGTCGAAGAAGAAGAACACTCCCAGAAAGTAATGTTTACATTGAGAACCTAACCTAAATCTGCTGACTGTGTCCCATGTGCTGGGAGAATGAGCATGAGGATTTTTGAAAATGACGAACGAACAGTTTAATTATTAACGCGAATCTTTTCTTTTGTTGTATGATCTTGATAATTTCTAATTTCAAGTTGCTGTTATGTTTTCTTCATCTGTTGTCTTGGTGGTTAAGTTGGTTATCCTAAAATGTGAAGTGATGTAGTTCGTTTTTGGGCAAGTATCTCTTGCGACGAGGAGAAGCCCTAAGGTATGTGCTACCTAAATTTGATTACCATGTTATTAATTTTCCTCAAACTTGGTTCATGGAAAACCTTACGCTATTGTCAGTGGATGAATACACTCCCAAATGGGTTTTTTAACCTTAAGATGATTCGTCAAGCTCAAGTGACGTGCTACCACTGGGGTTATTATGCAGATTACCGGCCCCTGGGCATATCGAGTTTCTGATCTTCCTGTCGGCAGGAGTTGGTTTCTAACTTCACAGAGAGGTAAAATACGGTGGCGGAAACGTCTCAAAACACATGAAATGTGGTTTTCAACGAAAACACATGAACGAAAACACATGAAACGAGGTTTTCAACGACAATTTGTAGGTTAAAATTCGCGATATCGTCGGGTACGCGGACGGGTCATAACACGCTGCCATGCGGAGCAACAGGGAACTAGTGGCGAATTTTTAGCACAAAAACGGACGTAAGCCTCTGCACGTTAGCCTAAAGAATCATTCTAAACCCAAAAATCGACAAAATTCAGAGAAATGAAAGCAGGATAGAGTTTGGAAAAAAACATTGCATTTGACACAGAAATCGGTAGCTGAATTGAATGCGAGGTTTTTTTTCTGAACACTATTCTGCCTTCATTCTCTGAATTTTGCCAATTTTTAGGTTTAGCATGATTCATTAGGCTAATGTGCAGGGGTTTTCATCCTTTTTTTGGCTAAAAATTCCAAATCTGCTGAGACTTTTGACCTAATCAATGAGATATATTGCATGCCAGTCCGACCACGCCACTTGAGCTTGACGAATCACCTTAATGATCCATTACTTAACCAGCTACTGTTAAACAACTAATTTATCTGATGAAATGATGCTCCTGGCAATGATGGTTTTGTGCATTGCTGATAGGTAAGTAGCTGTGCTGCTTCATTTTAAAGCCAATCCCCTTCAATCTTCCGGATCTACAATATTTTAAGGTGACCCTTCCAATAGACTGACATATTGAAGGTCAATCTTTCCCAAAGTTTGTCAGTATTTGTGGCTAGTAATCTTTTCAACAAGGAAATAATATGAATGAAATGCATTAATGAAGCATCCAGCCCTCATCTGACTGACAAAGATTCTGGCAATTTAACCTGGGAAATGTCAATCACTCTCAACCTTTCCAGATGTAATTGACTCTCTCTAGTGAATTAAGGGTTCATTATGAAGGGACCAGTGTATCACCGCATGGCTTGCACAAGCCCTGTAGGTACTTATTTTCTCTGGTGGTTGAAAGTCACCACTGATGCCTCAAAGTTGTTCCTTATCAGTCTTTATGATCGCATCCTACTATGCAACTGTGATTAATAATGTAGATGAAACTTTAAGTTCAGAATAGGAATCATGTCAAAAGAGATACTAATTTGTACCTAATTAATGTTTTCAGATGGCTACAAAGAGGCAGGCAGCACTAAGTCAACTTGCCAGAATGTAAAGTAATATCCCTATCTACTAGCAGCTCTCTAGGAAAGTGAAGACTTACGGTAAGTGTGTCACAGTTTGTATGCAACATTTTCTGCAGTACACAACAAAAAAATAGAATATTTTGGTCCTTGATCTTAGCAGATAAATTCAACTAAGTACAAGCAACTTCAATGAAACTTGTACTTACATTTAAGAAGCAGTCATTCTGCCTACTTTAAACGTTAATTATTGGGAGCTTGGTGGATTTGTAATCTCACGTGGAAAGCCCTGGACACACAATTGCATCCAAGGCTTGTCCTTCAGATAAATACTTCTACATTTTGTGACACTGTTTTACATGGACTCAGTGCCCAACACTGTAAGTATCCTACCGGTCAAAAAATTTGTAAATTTTTCAGCCTAAATAACAGGTTGTAAAACCTGCAAATAGCCACTTTAATAGCTACCTGTATGAAATCCCTCTACTCAGCTCTTCCAGCAGATTTGCACCAGGGTTACTATCCTACCTCCCATCCCAGAATGACCCTGTAAAGTTATTAAATTCAGCATTTGTACTTATCTATGCAGTATTTCATTAAAGTTAATCTTTCAATTTTTCTTCTTTCAGGCGTAGCCAACGATGTTAACTGCAAAGCAACGAAGGGCCTGCGCCAAGTGTGGACATAGCAGCAGTAAATGAACCCAGTCTTTCCATCGAATTCCTAAACCAGGAGGAGCCAATACGGAAAAGTAAGCTTTCTCCTGTCATTTAGTAAATATTAGTTGTACAAATTGCTTGCGAACCAGCAGACATTGAGGTTGTTGCTTCTTTTAAAAATGTGATACCTTTTTTTTCAAACAAGGCTGCTATTAGCATTGGAGAATTAGCAACAATGCAAAGCAAGAATTGATATTCATCAGCTGATGTAGTTTTGTCTTGCATATAAGCTGTCTCTTCTGCCTCTTTTGTTCTCTAAATTAAATCGCTTCGGACCTGAACTTTCATCACTTATTTCTCTTAAATAAAGGGAGCAATTGATTTTAAATCTTTTCCTTAAGGTAATTAATCAAGTGGCTGATTTGTTAACTAGATCTGTGTCGGTTTGCAAATCCAAGGAACTCATTGTGAGACTGGGACTCAGACTTTAGCGAGATTCAAATCTGGAGTTCCAGACAAAATTCTAGTCAAACTTTGTAGAGAGAATTCTAGTATAAAAATTGCTTTGTACAGTTTGTTTTAAAATGAGGTCTGGTGAGGTTTTTCTCATCTGTAGCTAAAAATGTTGGACCTGCATGTTTTCCCAGTTAGCATCTTTTCACAATGGAATTAATTTCTGGGGAGGCGAAATATGGCAATGCCGTGAGAGGAAAAATTAATACGCCTTATATCAGCTGATTTTCTTCATAACTGCTGCGCCCGAATCATAAAAATATGCACTGCTACAGAATTGTTTCCTTTTCAATTCTAATTTTTGAGAGGGCGTGATGGAGAAATTGCAACAGTGCGAAGCACAAATTAATATTCATCAGCTGATGTAGTTTCGTCTTGTATAACCTGTCCTTTCTGCCTCCCTTGTTCTCTAGAATGAATAGCTTGTGCCCCAAACTTTCATACCTTATTCCTTATTTCAAACTTATTTCTTTTCTTGAACTGGGTCATGTTCAAAAGGGACCCACAGCATTTAAAACCCGTAGTAAGTAAATTAACATACATTATTGCAAAATTCCCTTTACTTCTGACAATATTACAAGTAGCCTCCACAAACTACTCCTTTCATGCTAGATAGAACCCAGATCTCTAATTTTGATCATAAGTTTTCAGTTTTTACACCTTTCATATCGTTACTAATCCTTGTGTACTTTCCTTTGTTGCAGATGCCGTCAGTGGGCAAGTTGGCTTTACCCACAAAGTAACTGGGAGTCTGAATCTGATCTACTGGCCCTGTACAAAAAGTCGAGAGTTGTTTGCTCAAGTCATTTTACCGAAGCAGACTTTTCGGACAATGTGCGACGAACACTGCGTAGAGCTGCTGTACCTCATGTCACATCCACGGATAAATCTGCCACTTCACTGATTGCAACCATTGAGCCACCGAGTTGTATTGATGCTGCAAGCTGTGGATCTTCACAGCAGAATGGAGAGATCGGCATAGAACTAGGGCCATCCTCTGAATCCATCCTTGGTTATGAAACCCATACTTCTACGCTACCGCAAGATACCATCATCAGCAACATACCATTTCTCCGCTTAGTAGAATGACGTAACATTTGAAATTTAGTTTTGATAAGGAGATTGCTGATTCTTGTTACCTACTTGTGTTCAGAATTCAGTCAAGTGTTTGTACATTTTTTTCCATTCAGAATTAAATTACTTTCCATTAAAAGCAATGCCTTTGGAGTATCATTTATTTACGCCACTCTCCTAAGTACTTCTTTTTCCAAACCATCAACTTTACTCCTTCAATTCTAAATGGCAAGTATGTACTTAGAAATATCAGATCCTGAGGAGAATTCAATAATAGTACCTACCTGTCTCTAAGGTTTCGAAGGTTTCAGATAGATCTACCTGATCTAATAGAGAGAAAATTGAGAGTAAGCTAATTTTTGGCGGAGTATTCAAACTCTCCTTATGCCATCAAGCACTGTTTGCTTCTAAAATCAGGTGACTACCAATACCCTTGAAACGTTGATGGGTGAAATGCACAAATTTAACAATTTCAGGGCTTTTTTAGTTTCCTTTGGTACCTTCTACTTTGATTTTGGTAAAATGAGCATCAGTGTTCATTCAATTTTGTTATGAATAGTCATGAAGATTAAACATAGTGCTTTGTAACAACGTCCAAGTAACAATTTTCGAGTTAAAAAGATAATTGAAGATAGGAAATATGAAAGAATTTGAAATCTGGTACACATGCTTTAAATTTATTAAGTCATCATTTCACAATCAGCCCATATTAATGAACACACGTTGAATCTTTTTCATGGATTAATTTTAATGAGAGTAAAATCAATTGATTCATTAAAATTATTATCGTTGCGTATAATTAAAAAGATAAGTGAGGAAAGGAAATATGAAATAATTTGAAATCTGGTACCTGCTTTAAATTTATTAAGTCATCATTTCACAATCAGCCCATATTAATGAACACACGTTGAATCTTTTTCATGGATTAATTTTAATGAGAGTAAAATCAATTGATTCATTAAAATTATTATCGTTGCGTATAATTAAACTCGACAAAACCCGATTCGATTTCCCATTTGAGAAGCGTCAATTCAAATAAACCGCCGTTCACTTTATTGTAATTGTTGGCAATCTTGCACTCATTTGACAACAATGCAGACAGCCGGAAAGTACAAACAGTGATACATTGGAGTTTACGGGAGTGAACCTTCTGTTGGTGAAGCCTATATATTCTGTGCCGGTATTCTCTTCTGCTAAACAAACGATACAAGATGATCTTTTCAATATATTTTCCAATCACACTGTTCACCGAGACGTTGCTAATCATTAATGTGTTGATTTCACCATCGTTTACTGCTGAGTAAAGTCTCGGAAGTTCATATTGTCCCTCGTGCATGAAAAAGAAGAACATCATGGGTACGACCGTGGACACCGAGAATCATCGGTATCCTTTTTGTGTTGTTTGGACTCCTCTCCCTGTATTTTCGTGAGTTTCATAATTTCTCTTTGCATTAAAGACTAAAGCAATGTTAATGTTAGCCTCATCTCTGATTTAAGGTGATTTGTCAAGCTCAATTGACGTGGTCAAACTGGCATGCGAAATATCGCATCGATTAGGCCAAGTATCTCAGCCGATTTGAAATTTTAGCGAAAAAAGGTCGATAGCCCCTGCGCATGAGCACAAGGAATTATTCTAATTCCAGAAATTTGCAAATTTCAGAGAAATGAAAGCAGAATAGTGTTTGGGATAGAACCTCGCATTCGATTCAGCTATCGGTTTCTGTATCGAATGCGAGGTTTATATCCAAACACTATTCTGCTTTAATTTCTCTGAATTTTGCCGATTTTTGGGCTTAGAATGATTTTTTAGGCCCTTGCGCAGGGGCTCTCATCCTTTGTTCCGCTATAAATTCAAAATCTGCCGAGATTTTTTACCTAATCATTGCGATATATCGCACGCCAGTTTGAGTACGTCACTAGGGATGGTTGAATATTTCAAGAATCAAATATTCGAAATATTGTAACGGAGATAATCGCCTCACAATCAAATGTTGGTGCAAGTATTCGAATATTTGACTATTCGATTATTATTCGATTAATATTTGAAAAGGTGAAACTGTGGTTTTCAACTACTTTCCCTCCTACAGTTTGAAATTACGAGGTGAAAAATGTCCCTCTAGACCAGCAGACCATTCAGTACAAACCTACATTCCTTGGAGTCCAAGTTACCACCAGTATGGTTCAAAAAAAGTCCATCGTGTGGAAATACCTCTCCAAAAGTGCGAAAAATAGAGCCCTGTGCAAGCTTTGTCCCACCATCCTCTTATATTCGCGGAGCACTGTTACAAAAAAATGAAAAATCAGCAATAATCGAAAAGATTCGAATATTCCCTCCAAAGTATTCAAAATTGCAAGATTCGATTTCTCTAAGTATTTCAATCGAAAAGTTCCGAACAATGGAATTTGATTTTTGTCCATCCCTGTTTGTCACCGTTTCTGGTGTAGTTGAACCGGCATGTGATAGATTCGTTGAATGTGTGAAAACTGTCAGCAGATTTTGAATTTCGCCAAGAAAATTATGATAACCCCTGCGCATGAGCCTAAAGCATTATTCTACATCATAAAAAAAACTTAACACAGCAAAATGAAAGCAGGATCATCTTTAAAAGAAACGCTATGACTGTTACAGAAATTGATAACTAAGTATATTGAAATCTAGGGTTTTCTCTACATAGGACCCTGCTTTCATTTCTCTGAATTTTTCCAATTTTTTGGATTAGAGTGATTTCTTAGGTTTATGGGCCGGAGCTATTGTTCTTTGTATGCCTATAAATTCAAAATCTGAGTTTTTTCTTGTAATCCATGTGATACACGGCACTCCAGTTTGACCACGCTAGAAACTGCAACAAATTACTTTAATAATGATCCCACCTGATCTTCATTTCAACAAAGCCCTTCGTTCCCTTTTGCTTATTGCATCCCCCATAACTTCCAGAAACAAGGGAAAGAAAATTGTCAGAGTCTAATGTTCTGTAGAGATTCCGTCCTTTTTTTTCTGTCAGCCCTAGTCTTCCAGGCCAAGATGGAATCTCTGCTAAACTCAAACGCCAAATTGTCACATCAATCTGTATGCAACAATCATCTGTTGGCTTATTGATTATCACTTAAATGTATGTTAAATGGTGCTCTATTTTCTCCTTTCCGCAGTTCTATCAAGGCACTAATGTATCATGGAATGATAAATTTACAGGTGGCTGTTCCCATTCATTGGTCACATGGGGATTTGCAACTCGGCAGGAATCATTCGAGACTTTGCTGGCCCGTATCGTGTGTCCGAAGATAATATGGCATTTGGAAACCCAACGAGGTATTGGCAGTTGAATCCTACTAAAGTTGCTGGTGGTGCTGCCAAATGGGATCAGGCTGTTAGAGAATCTTCTGATATTTATTCTTCCAGAATGGTAAATGAATTATATTTTACTCATCTGTAATCCCATACTTGTAAGCAATTATAATTAACGTAATAGTTGGTGAAAAGTGAAACATGAAAAATTACATTGTCGATCAATGCAAGGTATGTAAGTTAAACAACGGTATTCTTTTCCCCCTCCAGACTGGTCAAAATGGACTGAATGCTCAATTACATCTGTGCTGTTTCAGTCCTGGGAGGAAGTTAGAATAAGAGAACGCCGGCTTGATCAGATTCAAATCTTTTTGGTTTAACTGCCCTCTCAAAATCACAACGAAGGAGCAGTCAGAATCAAATTTAATCAAATCGGCATCTATTTTCAAACTTTCCACCCAGATTATATCGGGGCCAACGGAACTAAGCGTTTTGTACACTTTGCAAGGTCTGTAGCGAGAGAACATAATTTTGTTTGGTTTACTCGGTATCACTGTCCAAAACTGTGACAAGATTTCTTGGATTAAGGTCAATAAAGTTCCAAACCAGCCTCCCTACACTAAACTTCCAGTCTTCTAGTCTCCTTATGCACAAATTCAAGCTCAAAGGGAGAGACCGTTTTAATTTCTGAATTGATTATCTTTAGTAAAGGAGGAAAATAATATCCTTTAGAATACTGTTCTTTGTTCAAACCGGGTTTAACAAAGACGCTCAAGTTGTATCAAGTTTGAACAGAAAAACAAAAGGTTTGAAGATTTATTCCTCTAAAAGAATCCATATCTATTTAAGACGAAGGAGGAGAATCGTTTTGGGCCTTTTCCGTCCCCACTTGGATTTTGCTGAATGTTTCATATTTTCAAAGTACTAGTCCTAGGTAGACTTTATGCCAAATATTTTACCGAACGGAGCCCATGCAAAGGTGCAACAACGCCTCAAACCCAGAATCTTGGCATCGAAAAATAGTTATTTTCGTCGACTTTTTCGACTGTTATCACTCTTCCAGCAGATGATTCCTATGTATTTTTTTGCGTACATTCTGTTTCTGGCCTTTTTAAAGGCCTCTGATAAATTTTGAGGGGCCTGTGGATCTCTTAATTAAAGGAAGGAACATTGACCACATTCAACTTTCAACTATGAGTTTATTTTATATTAATAAGTTAGGAAAAGTATCAGCTGATGATTTAACATATACTCCCTCCCTTGAGGGTACCTCAACTGAATACATTGCATTAGGATATTAGCATTATGTTACTTATGACATCATTGTATAAATAAGCTCCGAGACCTTCTAATTTTGCGCAACTGGTAACGCTTAGCTCCAGCGTTCTACCGGGCCGATTTTCATGATTTTTGCGGCTATCGACGTGCAATTGTCTCTACATTAGCTCATTCTATTCAGTTTTTCAAAATATGACCCAAGTTTTTTTACATTACGTGGTATAGTTGCGAATTCTCCCATTTAAACAATGTAAATTTATACTTTTTGTCATATTTCGTTGAAGCGTTCTACCGGGCCGATTTCTATGATTTTTGCGTAAATCGACAGGTAATAGGCCTCAGATGAGCCCACTCTAATCAGATTTTGGAAATAGGATCCAGATTTTTTAAAATCACGTTACTAAATTGAGTGAATTTACAGAATGCTCCGGGACTGCCACCGCTATGCGCGGGAGGATGCGCAGTGGTCGAGGAAGTTGCGCAGTAGCTGGGTAGCCTGCGTATCAGCTCTATACCTATCTACACTAGATTCGCGCTGCTTACCTCTGTACGAGCGGTGGCCGTACCATACCAATTGAAAATAAGGCTGCCCATTGATGGCGCGGAGCGCTTTCAGGGGGTTGGTCCGCGTAGCCCCCTATCTATTGTATTAATCATTTAATCAGTTAATTTTTTTTTTTTTTCCTCGTATACTATTTTATTGATAAGTATACAATGTTGAGTTGTCAATAAATGTCTTCAATGGCAAAGGGTTAGGTTCTGAAATGGCTCTAACTGCTCCTTTGTCCGCTGTCTTTAAGGTGACCACTCTAGTTAGTCCACCAGGTCCTGGATGCCTTTTTATTACAAGGCCTAGTCTCCATAATAGCATGGGAGGTAGAAAACGGTAATGGATTGTTACCAGTTGTCCGATTTTTAAACTGTCTTTAGTTTTGTGCCATTTAGACGATTTTTGGAGGATTTGTAAGTATTCCCTTCTCCAACGCTGTCAAAATCTTGATTTTAATTCGTTCATTTTAACCCAATCAACAACAAGTTTGTCCTTTGATTTTTGCTCGGTGCTTGTTGGCAGCGCAATCAATTGCTTCCCCATTAAAAAATGTGCCGGTGTTAACGCCTCTAAATCTAATGTGTTTGATGATAACGGAGTTAGCGGTCTTGAATTCATGATCGCTTCTATTTCTACTAGCAACGTTTCTGCTTCTTTTGATGTAATGCAAGCGGATCCCACAACTTTTTTGATGTGTGTCTTCATGCATTTAATTGCCGCTACCCAAATTCCGCCAAAATGTTTAGCATATGGAGGATTGAATTTCCATTTCATATTGAGATTTGAGCAATAATCTTGTATTAATTGCGTTGTTAAAATTTTCTGGAGATATGCTGAAGAACTCACAAATGCTTTTGCATTATCTAAGAAGATGGTACTGGGGATTCCTCTTCATGAAATAAATTTTTTGAATGCCTCTAAAAATAAAGATGCAGAGAGATCCATTGTAGTTTCTATATGGACTGCTTATGTTAGAAGGCATATAAATACGCAAACATAGAGTTTCATAACAGGCGAATTTTTCCGTTTTGTTTGCTTAACAACCAGGGGTCCAGCGTAATCAACACCTATAGATGAGAATGGTAGTTGCGGAATGACACGAGTTTCAGGCAGTGGCGCCATTATCTGTTGCATGCTTTTATTCCTGCTCTTCACACACACGATGCAGCGATTTACAAAAGTTTCAGCAGATCGTCTTGCTTAAAGCGGCCAAAACCTCTGTCAAACTGCCGAAAGCAGTTGTTGGGGTGGACAATGCTTTAGGCGATTATGTTCTTGCCTGAACACTAATGATGTGAAATGATGTTTAGCTGAGAGTAACATCGGATGTTTAGCATCTTCAAGGAGCTCACTATTTTGCAATCTTCCGCCTACCCTCAACATCCCATTTTCATCCAGAAAAGGATGCAACGTAAATATTTTACTTGACCTACTTAGACCAGAAGCTGGTACCGAAAGATCTTTAATATCTTTTGCAAATGATTCTTCTTGAACTGATGTGACGCAATATGTGAGCGATTTCTGTATTTTTTGAGACGTCTGCGGTCCTGTTTTCCTGTAACTTCTCTTAGCTTTTGTGTTATTTATGAACCTGAGAATATATGCCATTACTTTCAAAACTGTTTCTAGTTTTGAGAATTTGTGAATTATACTTGACGAAGTTTGAAGGTGAAGTGCCAATATAACAGAAGATGGTCTTAATTCTAACTCCGTGGGCCGTGAGTTTCTTTTGAAATTAGGCCAGAAAGTTTGATCACTAAGAAGCCATTTGGGCCCGTTCCACCAAATTTGCGAATTCAATAGACTTTTTGCCGAGACCCCTCTTGACAACATGTCAGCAGGATTCTCAGCGCCGGGAAGGTGCGACCACTCAGTGTTTTTCCTTTTTGCCATTCTTGTATTTTAGCGGTCTTGTTGGCCACAAACGTTTGCCACTTGCTTGGGGGCCCATCAAGCCAATCTAGGACAACTGTTGAATCAGTCCATAAAAATATTTTTGATGGTTTATGTCTTACAACTTCAGTTGTTTTTTGAAGCAAATTTGTCAGCAACACTGCGGAGCATAATTCCAGCCTTGGTATGGATATAGATTTAATTGGCGCAACGCGAGACTTAGCGCAAATAAGGTGCGCTGATTTTGCACGTTTATTATTTACAGCATAAATACAGGCACCATATCCTTTTTGTGATGCATCACAAAATCCATGATACGTTATTTCCTCACTTGCTTCCGCAGCCAGAAATCTCCTCTCAAGCTTGAATCTTTCTAGATCTACAAAATCTTGCCTTAGTTTGTTCCATTCCGGGACAATTTCCTCAGTAAGATGTTCGTCCCATCCTATCTTCCTTCTCCATAATTTTTGAAGTAGAAATGTTGCTCGAATGGTTATAGGTCCAATGAAGCCCAGTGGATCAAACATTCTCGACAATCCTGATAGGAAGGTTCTTTTTGTGTACGTTGCCAACTGCGTCCTGTATTCGACGATTGTTGAAAAGCTGAACTCATCACTTTTTGGTAGCCATTTTACACCTACTACTTTCACTTCATCATTTTTATAAAGGTAAAGAGGCTCTGGTTCGTCACCCATCGTTTCAATTGCTTCCGGTAGGTTGCTCACCCATCTCGTAGGTAAAAGCCTGCTGAACTTGTAATCTTTTCAACGTTTGTTTTAAATAATTGAGCTTCTTTAACAGACTAGGCTCCACGTAAGAAATCATCTACGTAAAAGGAATCCAGGATTCTTTGCGCTGCCTCAGGGAACTTATTTACATTTTGTAATGCAGCTTCGCGTAGAGACCTTATCGCAAGGAACGCTGCCGGTGTAGTGCCGTAAGTCACAGTGTTTAGCTGGTATATTTTGATGGGGAGGTCCGGTTCCTATCTCCAAAGTATCCGTTGAAATTTTCGTTGATCTGGATGCACCAGAACTTGACGATACATTTTCGTAATATCTCCACTTAGGGCTACTTTGTATTCTCTGAATCTGAGAAAAATCGAGAAGAGGTCGTCTTGAATTACAGGTCCAGGGTGCAATAGGTCATTCAGAGAGATGTTGTTCGAGGTTTTCGCAGAAGCGTCAAAAACAACACGCAATTTCGTTGTTAATCTCGTCTCATCTAGAACACCCAACGTTGGGATGTAGTATGATGATTTTTGATGGATTTCTTCCGGTGGAACTAGCCGCCTGTGGCAGAGTTGCTCATACTCCTTTAAAAACTCTGCATACATTTCTTTTAGGCGGGGATTTGCTTCTAGTTTTTTCTCTAGCATGAAGAGTCTTTTCCGAGCA